GTGCATACAATAACTGCTGCAAAGAGAAAGGCTGCGTATATTACAATGACCTCACCGTAAAGATGAGAAAGGTTAGAGTAAAAACAAGTGCTCTGATTAAATCTAGGATCTAATGGTTTGCCAAACTGCCAGATTGAAAACGTGGTGCCACCTGCTGTGCCAACTAGGGCTGCCACGATTAGTCGACTATCAAAATCGTCAACGACTGATTTAATAGTCGACGCGCGAAGTTTTGTAAGATCCCAAAAGACGCAGGAATAAGTAGTAGGATTTAAGACAGAAGATGGCAGCACTGCATGTACAAGGATGCTGGTGCAATAAGCTGTAGTTTTACGTTCAATGGATGATGATCTGATTAGTCGACTAATCGCAGAAATAATCGGTGACTAATCGACTATCAAAATAATCATTTGTGGCAGCCCTAGTGCCAACCCCCCTGTGAATAAGGGAGCAGCCTATACTGTAGCTTATTAAATTTTCAGAACTCACTGTAGGAAGGTAAATGAAACCAAAACCTAAAAACAGTGTGACAACTTTGTTCGGGTAGATAGGGGACAATCAGACTACGAAGCAGAACATCCAACCCTAAACCACAGTTAACATCTTCACGATGATTATTTTTGGTACAAACAAAATATTCATCACACGTGTCCAACGATGGAAAGTGTCCCCTACCTGGCAAAGCCTTGTGGCAGTTCTCCCAGGCCGTACAGCGGGTACAGATATGGGCTCTTGCCATATCGGGCCAGAGACTCACTGTAAAGCTTTATCCTGTTGACTGCTTCCATGCAGGGTTGATCCAGGTAACTAAGGGCAGAACAATAAGAACAATCTAAATGCTACAAGCTGCAGCGTTTCACAGCAGAGGCCATCATAATCATGTCCAATTACAGACACTGTTAAGACAAAAGAAGGCTACTAACTCATCTGTACGGTAGAGGGCAAGGGAGTGGCCGGTGAAGTCCATGACTTCCTGGCCCAGGTCAAACTTCTTGTATATTTCCCTCATCGTCGTCTTCTTTGGGTCGACACCCTCCATAGTCTTGGGGTCATTCTCATCAAAGTTGGCAACAAAGACCAGGAACTTTCTGAAGCGCCGCTTCTCAAACAGCCCCATCAGACCTTTGAGTGAGAACGAGTTTAGAAAAGGAGGAGATCCATAACGAGAGCAACAAAACAACCTTCCACTAAACTGTTCAGTATCTAACTAGACTCACTGGATGCCAGGGCCTCCGTCTCCGTAGAGGGAACTTTATGGATTTTGGGCTTCTTGTACACAAAACTGCCTTCAACCACTTTGAAATCCAGGTAGCGAGTCACCTGTGTGATCAGCAGCATGCGGACCAGCTGACCTGCAACAAAGGAAACGTTCATCATCATCACTTCTAAGGATCCTTTTAATCGTTGCCCATTATTATATCGTTTCTTGTCTACCAAAGATCAGGGAAACTATACCATTGGCCATGAGGAATTTAGGGACAAGGTCCACGTTCCAATCCCGGCCTTTTCCCATTGACTCAGGAGGGCTTCCGGGAAGGTTGAAGCGCTTGTAGAGCTGTAGTGAGACACATAACATCTGACCCACAGGCAACAGCTTCCACTTTCACAGAGGCATCTTAATTTCCTACTCTCACAAAATGAAATATGCTAATTCTATCATCACCACCTCTGCTGGATGGAACGTGTGGTGTTTAAGAACAAAATGCATCTATGTTAAAAGAAGCCATTACCAGCCTTAAAATACAAACGTTCATCCTAACTCCACATCACTGTGGTGAAACAACCAGAGGTCAACTTACGTCTTCAAGAGGTGTGATGGAGGCGCTATCACCTCCGTAGTAGGAGTTGCGATCCATGTGCAGAACCTTTTTCCCATTCACTGACATAATGCCTGATAAAATACATTCCTGTTGGGAGAGGCAAGTACAGAAGTTAGACTCAAATCAACCACAGAGCTCTTCATCTTGCTTTCCTCACACACGAGTTATAGGATATGATAATATAATAATATAATAATGACAAAAACACTAATAATAAAAATGATTTACTCAACAGGAATAGCTGTATTTACCAGGGTCAGCTCAACTGCATGCAG